GAGTGGCACTGACATATATACACTACCAAATGTAAAATAGATGGCTATGGGAAGCAGCCGCATAGCACGAGGAGATCAGCTCGGTACTTTGCGACCACCTAGAGGGGTGGGAAAGGGAGGGTGGGAGGGGAGGAGATATGGAGATATAGGTATATGTATAGCTGATTCACTTCGTTATAAAGCAGAAACTAACACACCATTGTAAAGCAATTATACTCCAATAAAGATGTTTAAAAAAGAAAAGAAATAGAGTTAAATGGCCTATCTGAATAACATAGTCAGAAATGAAGGAATCCTAACGTGGCTTCTAGATTCAGTCTAATTAGTTTGCAATTTCTAGAGCAACATGACCAGGGAGCCTTTTTTAGGTTGATTTTTAGGTTTACAATTTTGTCCTAGTAGCATTTTGGAGTTAAACTAAATTATACAGAATGAGTCCTTTATTTCCTACTAGACATACAGAGACTTTTGTTACTATATTTGTAGAACACAACCTTTGTAGGATTGATCAACAGCCTGGGCAAGACAGCTGATACAATAAAATAATTCTACCACCAACTATGAGTCAATCTAGAGGGCATTTGGAACAGTATCTAATTTTTTCCATATTTTGTGAAAGGAAGACCAATCACTAGGAGAAGGTACTAGCTCATCTGGTGAACAACACTACAACCTATCCATAAAGAACAAGCAATATCAGAATTCCCTGGCAGTCCAGTGGTTAGGGCTCCAAGCTTCCACTGCAGGGGGAAGGGGTCAGTCCCTGGTTGGGGAACTAAGATCCTGCATGCCATGCTGTGAGGCCAAAAAAATTAAAAACAAACAAACAAAAAAAAAACAAGCATCTATCCAGATAAGCATCTTGTAGAGGGAGAACAGACATCAGTTTATCACTTAAAAGTGGCTTCTTGTACATCCATGATCATGGCAGCATTATTTACAATAGCCAAAAAGTGAAAGCAATCCAAGTGTCCATCGATGGATGAATGGAAAAACAAAATGTGGTAGCTACATACAAGGGAATATTATGTAGCGTTAAAAAGGAAGGAAATTCTGACAAATGCTACAACATGAGTGAGCCTTGAAGATATCACGCTAATTGAAATAAGTTAGTCACAAAAGGATAAATACTGTATGATTCTACTCATATGAGGTAGCTAGGGTTGTCAAATTCATAGAGACAGAAAGTAGAATGATGGTTGCCAGGGGCTGCAGGGAAGGACGGAATGGATATGGAATTTCAGTTTGGGAAGATGAGAAAAGTTCTGGAGATGGAAGGTGGTGGTGGTAGTACATAATGTGAATGTACTTAATGCCACCGAATTGTACACTTAAAAACGGTTAAAAAGGTAAATTTTATGTTATGTATATTTTACCACAAAAATGGCTTCTTTACAGTCTAAAGAACAGTGACAATGATTACAGTAATATGTTAATTTATATAACATCTTTTTTTCAAGTAACTAAAATGCATTATTAGAAGGTCATCTAATTAATCCCGAGGAGTGAAGAGACGACTGAAAGAACCTCTACACTATATGGCTAATAAGCAAAGCCAATGGTTTCTAAATTTTGCTGCACATTGGAATCACCTGGGGAGCTTTAAAAAAATACTGAGATCGAGGGCTTCTACCCCCATACATTCTGATTTAATTGGTACAGAGTACAACCTAGGCATCAGGATTTTTAAAAGCTGACCAAAGGATACAGAATGAGTAATACCTAATTATGATCATTCTCTACACACTTCAACTCCATATCAGAATAAGAAGGAAAGACCATATGGTGACAGAAAATACGAAAATAAGAATTTGGAAAATGAACAGACCCAACTGCAACCCTGCTTTGAAAGCAGAGTAGGAATTCTTGATAATGACAAAGGTAAAGACTATAAAGCACCTACAGAGCTCTTATGGGGAGGCAGACTGAAGAACAACAACAACAAATCCTCTTTTTTTCAGTGAACAAATGTCATTTATTTAATTGACACTTTATTGTATTGATAGGTTCAAATAATGGACAACAGCACATCACAAATAGGCATGTTTAAAGAAACAATAGTCTGTATGGCTCTGTAATAGTCTCAGAATGAGTTACGTAGTGAGTTATGTATGAGCAACAAATCCTCTTAGCCTTAATGATTGGGCTTTAAAACAGCATTTGTCAGTACTTCCCTGGTGGTCCAGTGGTTAAGACTCTGCGCTCCCAATGCAGGGGGCCCAGGTTCAATCCCTGGTCAGGGAGCTAGATCCCACAGGCTGCAACAAAGATCCTGTGTGCCACAACTAAGAACCAGGGCAGCCAAATAAATAAATATGTTTTTAAAAAAAGCATTTGGCACACAGCTTCTAAGAACAAGCATCTAAACACAATAATTTTATTAAAGTGAGCTTCCTTCATTATCAAAGCTGCCAATCAAGGAATTAAAGTATAGAAACCAATAAAAATGCAAAAAGACAGAGACTAGCCTGATGTTACTAGAGGTTTATAGGACTTCATTCAGGAGAGAACCATGATCCGCCAGAGGGCAGACAGCAGAAGCAAGAAGAACTACAATCCTGCAGCCTGCGGAATGAAAGCCACAACCACAGAAAGATAGACAAAATGAAAAAGCAGAAGACTACATCCCAGATGAAGGAACAAGATAAAATCCCAGAAAAACAACTAAGTGAAGTGGAGATAGGCAACCTTCCAGAAAAACAATTCAGAATAATGGTAGTGAAGATGATCCAGGACCTCGGAAAAAGAATGGAAGCAAAGATCGAGAAGATGAAAGAAATGTTTAACAAAGACCTAGAAGAATTAAAGAGCAAACAAACAGAGATGAATTATACAATAATTGAAATGAAAAATACACTAGAAGGCATCAATAGCAGAATAACTGAGGCAGAAGAACGGATAAGTGACCTGGAAGACAGAATGGTGGAAATCACTGCTGCAGAACAGAATAAAGAAAAAGGAATGAAAAGAAATGAAGACAGCCTAAGAGACCTCAGGGACAACATGAAACGCACCAACATTCACATTATAGGGGTCCCAGAAGGAGAAGAGAGAGAGAAAGGACCCGAGAAAGTATTTGAAGAGATTATAGTTGAAAACTTCCCTAACATGGGAAAGGAAATAGCCTGCCAAGTCCAGGAAGTGCAGACAGTCCCAGGCAGGATAAACCCAAGGAGAAACACACCAAGACACACAGTAATCAAACAGACAAAAATTAAAGACAAAGAAAAATTATTAAAAGCAATAAGGGAAAAATGACAAATAACATACAAAGTAATCTCCACAAGGTTAACAGTTGATTTCTCAGCAGAAACTCTGCAAGCCAGAAGGAGTG